AGGAGAGTGAGTGGGGAGTGAGAGCTTCCTTGCTGCCAGGCTTGATGAACAAAGCTACATACTTTGGCAGCATTCCCACAATGCCATGCAGGCATCCAGATTTTTTCTATAGTGCGCACACTGACCACCCAGACCCATTCTTTCAGATGTAGGCCTACCAGCCTTCTTGCGCTAAATTTGATGCCGCTAGAATTTTGGTGTAGATCTACGGTTTGGACCCTGAAAGGCTTAAAACACTTGAAATTTTGGAAAGTTTCCAGACATAATAGAGATGTGCTCACGAAGGATGCAAACAAACAGGGTTGGGTACACCATATTAGAAAGACTGGGAGCCGTATAGCAAGTTTTGGTCATAATTTGAAATTGCCATATTAGCGGAACACTGTAAGGCGAAATGCTCTAAAGCAGGGCCCTACTGTATTTATACTCTGTAGTGTATTTTTCCTGAACAAGAGATATGGTAGTGTACCATCAGGTTATTGACTCTGCCAGATGCAAGTGTCTTGCTTCTCTAGCTTGAACTATCAAATATCCTTCTCCTGCTTGCTCATAATAATGATGTGATGATACTCTTGCTGCTGCTGCTGCTACTGTTCTTCCATTATTATCTGTGCAATAATATAGTATTATCACATTAATATGACCATGGTGTGCTGCACTCATAAACTAAATGTAAGTCATGGCTATGGGGTAATTTTGTTTGATGCCGTTCTGATCAGTTCTATGAAAGATTTAATGTCTCAAGATTTGGATTCTGAAAATCTGGCAAGACAGAAGTTATTGCATGAGTACAGTTCATTCATGATAAGATTAATATTTCTTAAATATTCAAGGTACTACAAGCAATAATAAAGGAAAATTTAATCCTTACATTAAAATTATGGACACCTTTAACCCTTTGACTGTCGCAGTCGTATATATACGTTATAGGAGATACCGTGTTTGACTTATCTATACGCATAAATTCTAGCAGCTTCAAATCAAGCAGGAGAAAGCTGGTAGGCCCACATGTGAGAGAATGGGTCTCCATGGTCAGTGTGCACCATATAAAAAAAATCGGGGAGCCAGTGGTGCATTGTGGGAATACCATTTCAGTCGTCCTTTTTCATCATGTCTAGCAGTAAGAAATATGTGACTCCCCAGCAAATCTGGGACTCTTCTCTTCCCAAGTGATGCTCTAACACAGATGGAAGTGTCATTGAAGATCAATTTCATGATTTCGAGGAGTTTGAGACCAAAAGCAATGGAGGAGGAGGAGGAGGAAGAAGAGGAGGAGGAGGAAGAAGAGGAGGAGGAGGAAGAAGAGGAGGAGGAAGGAAGGAGGAAGAGGAAGGAAGGAGGGAGGAGGAGGAAGGAGGGAGGAGGAGGAAGGAGGAGGAAGGAGGGAGGAGGAGGAGGGAAGGAGGAGGAGGAGGGAGGGAGGAGGAAGGAGGGAGGTGGAGGAAGGAGGGAGGTGGAGGAAGAGGGAGGTGGAGGAAGGAGGGAGGTGGAGGAAGGAGGGAGGAGGAGGAAGAAGAAGAAGAAGAAGAAGAGGAGGAAGAATAGGAAGAAGAGGAAGAAGAAGAATAATAATAATACCTAATAATAATAATATGTAATAATATGTTCCCTTGAGGCATGAAAACAGTTCACCCCATGACAGTGACAAGATAAGGGGAGATAACATCTGATAAGAGCTGACCTTTGATGAGCGTAAACGAGGGTGGAGGGAGGGGGGCAGCTGTCTATCTGCCAGGAGGAGGAGGAGAAGAAGGAGGAGGAGGAAGAGAAGGAGAAGGAGGAGGAGGAGAAGGAGAAGAAGGAGAGGAGAAGGAAAGAAGAAGGAGGAGAAGGGAAGAAGGAGGAGGGGGAGAAGGAGAAGAGGGAGAAGAGGAGGAGGAGAAGGAGAAGAAGGAGGAGGAGAAGGAGAAAGAGGAGAAGGAGAAGAAGGAGGAGAAGGAGAAGAAAGAGGAGGAGAAGGAGGAGGAGAAGGAGAAGAAGGAGGAGGAGAAGGAGGAGGAGAAGGAGAAGAAGGAGGAGGAGAAGGAAGAAGAGGAGGAGGAGGAGGAGAAGACAACGACGAACAAACATTTGTCTGTCTGTCTATTTGTCTGTCTGCCAAGCTCCCTGTCTATCCATCTAGCTCTGTCTCAGAGAGCCACAAGACTGTGTCATCATCACGTTTACTCACATCTTCAAGCAGAGTATAGCACTTTGTCTGGATTTTTTGGGTTATCCTAGGTAATTTACACTATGTATACTTGTATTTATGTGTACCTGTGAGACAGAGATAGACAGACAGAGAGAAAGAGAGAGAGAGATTGAAAGAGATAGAATGAGGGAGAAAGATAATTAGATAGAATGGAGGGGAAGCAGCATCCGACCCCATTGTTTTGACAGGCAGGAAGGGGAGTGAGTAATGAGACAATATGTCATTTTGACAGCTGCCGACTCCTGACTCAAAACAATTATAAGCCACACACTCGCACCCAAGACAAGCTTGTTGAATGGTGATAATAGCAGTTTTATGAAAGTATCTAGTGACTATATATGTGTATATATATTATAGAAACCAGAAGCAAGAAGGGAAGGCAGGAATGAAGGAAGGACTAGATGAAAGGAAGGAAAAAAGTAAGGAAGGACAGATGAAGGAATGTAGGAAGAGAGGTGGAATGCCCTCCAGGTAGGAAAGGAATGAAGGAAATTAGGAAGGAAGGAATGATGACACACGACCATTTACCTAGGATAACTACATAACACAACTGCCTGCTAATACTTTGAAGAAAACTGCTCAGACGAGGTGTTTTGTCTTTGTACATAAAAAAAAAACTTCCAGAAAAATGCACAGACACTGATTTTATGTTTGAGGAGTGTAAAACACCATTGTGTATGACACCATGTTTTATGTGTGAGGAGTGTAAAACACCATTGTGTATGACACCATGTTTTTATGTGTGAGGAGTGTAAAACACCATTGTGTATGACACCATGTTTTATGTGTGAGGAGTGTAAAACACCATTGTGTATGACACCATGTTTTATGTGTGAGGAGTGTAAAACACCATTGTGTATGACACCATATTTTATGTGTGAGGAGTGTAAAACACCACTGTGTATGACACCATGTTTTATGTGTGAGGAGTGTAAAACACCACTGTGTATGACACCATGTTTTATGTGTGAGGAGTGTAAAACACCACTGTGTGTGACACCATGTTTTATGTGTGAGAGTGTAAAACACCACTGTGTATGACACCATGTTTTATGTGTAGAGTGTAAAACACCACTGTGTATGACACCATGTTTTATGTGTGGAGTGTAAAACACCACTGTGTATGACACCATGTTTTATGTGTGAGAGTGTAAAACACCATTGTGTATGACACCATGTTTTATGTTTGAGGAGTGTAAAACACCACTGTGTATGACACCATGTTTTATGTGTGAGGAGTGTAAAACACCACTGTGTATGACACCATGTTTTATGTGTGAGTGTAAAACACCACTGTGTATGACACCATGTTTTATGTGTGAGAGTGTAAAACACCATTGTGTATGACACCATGTTTTATGTTTGAGGAGTGTAAAACACCACTGTGTATGACACCATGTTTTATGAGTGAGGAGTGTAAAACACCACTGTGTATGACACCATGTTTTATGTGTGAGGAGTGTAAAACACCACTGTGTATGACACCATGTTTTATGTGTGAGAGTGTAAAACACCATTGTGTATGACACCATGTTTTATGTGGAGAGTGTAAAACACCACTGTGTATGACACCATGTTTTATGTGTGAGAGTGTAAAACACCACTGTGTATGACACCATGTTTTATGTGTGAGGAGTGTAAAACACCACTGTGTATGACACCATGTTTTATGTGTGAGGAGTGTAAAACACCACTGTGTATGACACCATGTTTTATGTGTGAGGAGTGTAAAACACCACTGTGATGACACCATGTTTTATTGTGAGTGTAAAACACCACTGTGTATGACACCATGTTTTATGTGTGAGGAGTGTAAAACACCACTGTGTATGACACCATGTTTTATGTGTGAGGAGTGTAAAACACCACTGTGTATGACACCATGTTTTATGTGTGAGAGTGTAAAACACCACTGTGTATGACACCATGTTTCACAGAGTTCCACAAGCTGCAGAACTTCTAGGAATATGTTCAGTGACTATACTGGTATATATATTATAGAACAATAGTAATAAACAATTTTTTGTATTGTTTGTTTTTGTAAACAAGTTTTTGTAAACAATATATTGATAATTATGTTTGTGTGCTTATTGTGTTGTATACAACGAGTGTATATATGTACATTGCACCTTACTTTGGTCTCACAGGCCACATAAGTTATGTGAAAAAATAAAATAGTGAAAAAAACAACAAACCTTCAAATACAAGTAAACTAAAGTTTACCAGGTGAGCGGCAGTCGCCGCTGTTGCCATACGCAGCTCATTTTCTGCAAACTTCATGCCTCTATATCTGGGTAAGTACTGATGGGAAAAAAATTTTTTTGGGACTAAAACAATCAGAAAAATAATTTTAACATTTTCATAAGAAAAAATAATTTTTTTTTTTCGAATATTTTGCGACACCAGGAGACACTTCAGGATTGGGCCTTTCGACAGTCAAAGGGTTAATGTTGTGGTGAATATTGGTGCAGGTGCTCCATGCTTTGTATAATAGATGTGTTCCAGGTCCATGATCATTATAGTAATCTCAACCATTTCATCAACACTTAGTTCTTCATTGCAGGAATATTCATTATGTTTTGCAAACCTCACTGATCACATGAGAGTGAATTTATCTAACACATAGGTAACTATTGGTATAAATGGGGCATGGCATAAAAGCAAATTCTCATATTACAAAAAAAGCTGCATAAGGCAAGCAGTTACTGTAGTAGAATGCAATAAATGGTGGCAGAATGACATATGTATTCATCATAATGAACTGTGTTTTTAACATATTAAGTGTTGTACTTTTTTGTTTTGTTTTCAGATTTTGGCTTTATGTTTGAAAGTTCTCCTGGTGGTAACTTGGGATTTGAGCCAGATATTAAACTAACAGAAGAAATGGTGATGGTTATGGGAGGCAAAGTTGAAGCAGCTCCCTTTCGATGGTTTGTTGAGCTCTGCATCAAAGGATATTTGGCTGTTCGGTGAGATATGTTTACACTCATATTTTTTAACATTTGTTTTATTGATCTTCATTAATGTTAAAATCAAACTCATGAAATGTATATCAGAGGTAGGGAGAGAGAGAGAGGTGTGGATGAGTGAATGTGTGGATGTGTGGGTGGGTGAGTGTAGTTGATTTCCCTTACCCTTTCATAGTAGGACACACCCCTTAGCTCCAGGAACTAGTCTTATGTATGTGTGTGTTTGTGTTTGTGTGTGTGTATGTGTATGTGTGTATGTGTGTGTTGTGTGTGTGTGTGTGTGTGTGTGTGTGTGTGTGTGTGTGTGTGTGTGTGTGTGTGTGTGTGTGTGTGTGTGTATATTCACCTAATTGTGGTTGCAGGGGTCGAGACTCAGCTCCTGGCCCTGCCTCTTCACTGGTCGCTACTAGGCCCTCTCTCTCTCTGCTTCCAGAGCTTTGTCATACCTTGTCTTCCAGAGCTTTGTCATACCTTGTCTTAAAGCTGTGTATGGTTCCTGCCTCTAGTACATCACTTCTTAGGCTATTCCACTTCCTGACGACTCTATGACTGAAGAAATACTTCCTAACATCCCTCTGGGTCTTCAGCTTCCAATTGTGACCTCTTGTTTCTGTGTCCCCTCTCTGGAACAACCTGTCTCTATCTACCTTATCTATTCGACGCAGTATTTTGTATGTCGTTATCATGTCTCCCCTGACCTGCCTGTCCTCCAATGTCATCAGTTCGATTTCCCTCAATCTTTCTTCGTAGAACATACCCCTGAGCTCCGGAACGAGCCTTGTTGCAAACCTTTGCACTTTCTCTAATTTCATGACGTACAATGGTCTCTCACTTTTCGTAGTTCTCAGCAATCGTAAATTTCGCCAATCATAGGGTTATATTCGTATAAACATGGGCTCGCTTTTCATAGTTGACTCGCGAGCGAATTCCTCCCAGATTACCACGGAGGGGGGTGGCGGCAGCCAGTTGGGATTGTTTTCCAGTGAGCGAAGGGCCCCCCACGTGTCCAGCGAAATATTTATAATATTCCATTTATTTTAGTGTTTGCAAATACTAAATAAGCTACCATGGGTCCAAAGAAAGCTCCTTGCCAAATGTGGGAAAGAAGGTAGAAATAATTTAATTTAAGAAAACCTCATAGAACAAAATGAAAATGGTACAAGTGTGGCCCAATTTGGGCCCGGATGTTAAAACCCCACAAAAACCTTATGTTCCATAGTGGCCAAAAAAAAGGAAATCAAGGAGCTGTTGTTGCAAAGGGGGTAACTATGCTGACAAAAATGAGATCACCAGTACTCGAAGAGGTTGAGAAGTTATTATTGGTGTGGATAAATGAGAAACAATTAGCAGGAGATACTCTTATGACTTCGATTATTTGTGAAAAGGCTAGGCAGTTGCATGAAGATTTGGTAAAGAAATTGCCTGCAAATATGTGGTGATGTGAGTGAATTTAAGGCCAGCAAAGGCTGGTTTGAGAGATTTAAGAACCGTACTGGCATACACAGTGTGGTAAGGCATGGTGAGGCTGCAGTTCAGACCACAAGGTGGCTGAAAAATATGTGCATGAATTCCAGGTGTACATAGAGGCTGAAGGACTGAAACCTGAACAAGTGTTCATTGTGATGAAACAGGCCTCTTTTGGAAGAAAATGCCAGAGAGGCCTTCATTACACAAGAGGAAAAGGCAATGCCAGGACACAAGCCTATGAAAGACAGGCTGACGCTAATGTTCTGTGCTAATGCTAGTGGGGATTTCAAGTGAAGCCATTACTAGTGTACCATTCTGAAAATCCCAGAGTGTTCAGGAAAAACAATGTTATGAAGAGTAAATTGTGTGTGTTTTGGAAATCTAATAGTAAGGCATGGGTCACGAGGGAAATTTTCGTCGAGTGGTTCAATGAAGTGTTTGGCCCTAGTGTGAAGGAGTATCTCTTGGAAAAGAAATTGGTATCTCAAGTGCCTGCTAGTAATGGACAATGCACCTGCTCATCCTCCAAACTTGGATGACCTATATTTCGAGGAGTTTGGGTTCATCACAGTAAAGTTCTTGCCCCCGAATACCACTCCTCTCCTCCAGCCCATGGACCAGCAGGTCATTGCAAACTTTAAAAAACTCTACACAAAAGCAATGTTTCACAGGTGCTTGACTGTGACCACAGACACTCACTTGACCCTAAGGGAATTTTGGAGAGAACACTTCAGCTTCCTCCATTTGCATAACCCTTATAGGTATGGCTTGGGAGGGAGTGACTACCAGGACTTTGAACTCTGCCTGGAGAAAATTGTGGCCAGATTGTGCCGACAAGGGGGGTTTTGAAGGGTTTGGGATGACCCTGATGGCTATGTCTGTTGTAAATCAATTGTGGCTGGGGATTCCATGGGTTGGGATGTGAGTTTGGAGGGTGGAAAAATTGGGGAAGACCCACAACGAAGAGTAAACCATGGGGAGCTGCAAGACTTCAGCGGAAGAAGAACACATCGCGTCAGAATCTGCTGCAGAGGAGGAGGAAGAAGATGAAAAGTGCCTTCTTCAGAAATTAAAGATTTTTACTATGTGGGGTAAAATGGAAAGCTTTATGGAGGGAAAAATCACCCTAACAAGGTTGTTGCAAGCCATATTGGCAACTGTACAGTGATAAAGTCTTGGGCCATTTTAGGGAAGTGTTAAAGAGACGCCGAAAAAAGGCTCTCTGGACAGTTATTTTGCGAGACAGGACTCCAGTGCTCTCAAGGTGGTCCTAGTGGCATTAAAAAACAGAGGGAAAACAAGCAACCCCAGAAAAGCAATTGGTACCTGAGGTGTTTGTGGAAGGGGATTCCCCTTCCAAACTATAAACAATCCACTCTCTCTCCTTTCCCCCGTCTCCCATACACTAAGAAGAAATCTCCCAATAAAGGTAAGTGTTATGCTGTTAATGTTTCATTCATCATTTCCCATTGTATTGTTTATGTACTACATGTATATTTCATGTAAAAAAAATTTTTGTTTTAATACTTCTGGGTGTCAGGAACGGATTAATTGTATTTACATTATTTCTTATGGGGAAAATTGATTCGCAAATCGTAAATTTTGTTTATAGTACCGGCTCCAGGAACGAATTAATTACGAAAAACGAGGGACCACTGTATTTGACCAGGTGTGGGTTCCAAACTGGTGCTGCATACTCCAGTATGGGCCTGATGTACACAGTGTACAGTGTCTTGAACGATTCCTTATTAAGGTATTGGAACGCTATTCTCAGATGTGCCAGGCGCCCATAAGCTGCAGCAGTTATCTGGTTGATATGTGCCTCTGGAGACATGGTAGGTGTTATGGTCACCCCAAGATCTTTCTCCTTGAGCAAGGTTTGCAGTCCTTGGCCACCTAGTCTATACTCTGTCTGCAGTCTTCTTTGCCCTTCTCCAATCTTCATGACTGCATTTGGCAGGGTTGAATTCAAGAAGCCAGTTGCTGGACCACGTGCCCAGCCTGTCCAGGTCTCTTTGAAGTCCTGCCTGGTCCTCATCTGATCTAATTCTCCTCATTAACTTCACATCATCTGCAAACAGGGACACCTCTGAGTCTATCCCTTCCATCATGTCATTCACATATACCAGAAATAGCACTGGTCCTAGGACCGACCCCTGTGGGACCCCGCTCATCACAGGTGCCCACTGTGATACCTCATCCCGTACCATGACTCGTTGTTGCCTCCCTGTCAGATATTCTCTGATCCATTGCAGTGCCCTTCCTGTTAATACGCGTCTGATCCTCTAGTTTCTGCACTAGTCACTTGTGAGGAACTTTGTTGAAGGCCTTCTTGCAGCCCAAGAAAATGCAATCAACCTACCCCTCTCTCTCGTGTCGTACTTCTGTAACTTTGTCATAGAACTCCAGAAGGTTTGTAACACAGGATTTGCCTTCCATGAATCCGTGCTGGTTATCGTTTATAATCTTGTTCCGTTCCAGGTGCTCCACCACTCTCCTGATAATCTTCTCATTGACTGTTATGCAATACTGTAATAATTGTATAAATATCATCACCATATTTGTGAATGTATATTAGACCCACCAGCTGACGTGTATTAGACGTGTGAGGTCGTTTGTTTACTCTTGAATATCGGCAAAAATTTAACATTTCCGCTACTTTGAGCTCAGTTTCAAGCCATTTCCAGTGCTAAAACCAATCAAAATCTCATTATACACAGTGTGCTGCAGGATCTGTTTTATGTGGTGCACACATACCACATAGATGTATTCTCTCATATCTAGGCCCAAATGTACCACTCACAGTTTATCAGAGTGAGCTGAGCTCATGGCGTAGATCTACGGTTTGGACACTCACCGTAAAGCTGTAGATCTACGGGACGGACCCTGAAAGGGTTAATATAGACAAATGCAAAGTTATAAATGTTGGACAGGAAAATAACCATCTTAATATTACGGATTGTAAAAAGGATTTAGGAGTTCTGGTTAGCAGTAATCTGTAACCAAGACAACATTGCAATAGTGTTTGCAATAAAGTTAACAGAATCCTTGGCTTCATATCAAGAAGTATAAATAATACAAGTCCTCAGGTTGTTCTTCAACTCTATATATCTTTGGTTAGGCCTCATTTAGATTATGCTGCACAGTTTTGGTCACCGTATTACAGAATGGATATAAATGCACTGGAAAATGTACGAAGGAGGATGACAAAGTTGATCCTATGTATCAGAAATCTTCCCAATGAGGATATGCTGAGGGCCCTGAATCTGCACTCCCTAGAAAGGCATAGAATTAGGGGATATATGATTGAGGTGTATAAATGGAAAACAGGAATTAATAAAGGGGATGTAAACAGCGTGCTAAAAATATCTAGCATAGACAGGAGTCGTAGCAATGGATTTAAGTTGGAAAAATTCAGATTCAGGAAGGACATAGGAAAGCACTGGTTTGGTAACAGAGTTGTGGATGAGTGGAACAAACTCCTGAGTACCGTCATAGAAGCTAAGACATTGTGTAGTTTTAAAAATAGGTTAGATAAATACATGAGTGTGTGTGGGTGGGTGTGAGTTGGACCTGACTTACTTGTGCTACTAGGTCAGATGCAGTGCTCATCCCTTAAGTGAATGTGACTGACCTGACTAGGTTAAGGCATTGGCTTAAGCCAGTGGGAGAATTGGACCTGCCTTGCTTGGGCCAGTAAGCCTGCTGCAGTGTTCCTTCTTTCTTATATTCTTACGTTCATATTCAAATTCAAATTCAAAGTTTATTCTCTATAAGGATTACAATGCTGAGTTTACAGAATTTGGTTATTGTGTGGTTTACATGTAGTAAAATAATAATTACAGAGTGTACCACTAGAACACCTAGCATGGCTAGGCATTTCGGGCAGACTTAAATTAAATCTTAAGTTTAAAATATTACAAAATTATGAAGTAAGTTGGTATTATGGCTAAGTGACTAAATATTAGTTTGTGAGTTTAGCAATGTGAATGCTTTTGTTTTGGCACTATACATAGTTTCAGTATTGGAGAAATCACAGGCCAACTTATGACTAGTTAAGATTCATTATTTGAGATTGAGATTGATATTTCTGTTTTGGTCAAATGGGTGAGTGAGTGTAAGTGTTAACCACCAGCTGGTATTCGTGTAATTAGTTGACAGGGTGTTCAGGGGATAAGATGTTTTCTGATGGTATTTTTTGAAGGTGATGAATGTGTCTGCATTTTTTAGAATTTTCAGGTAGGGTGTTCCAGATTTTAGGGCCTTTGACATACATTCAATTTTTTGTAAAGGTTTAGTCGGACACGGGGAATGTCATAGAGATGTTTGTGTCTGTGTTGTGCCTGGGGTTCTGTCGCAACTATCAAGAAAGCGTTTTAGGTCAAGGTTAATATTGGAATTTAAGGTCTTGTAGATGTAGATTCCCACAGTAGTAAGTGTGGATGTACTGAACAGGGAGTAAGTTTAGATCTATGAAGAGTGGGGGGGGTTTGTGTTGCCAGGGATGGGATTTAGTGATTATTCTTACTGCGGCTTTTTGTTGGGTTATTTTTGGGCTTTAGGTGTGTTGCTGCAGTTGAACCCCAAGCACAGATAGCATAGGTGAGGTATGGATATATAAGTGAATGGTATAGTGTGAGAAGGGCAGTTTGCGGCACTTTGTATCGTATCTTGGAGAGGATCCCAACCGTTTTTGGATACTTTTTTGGTTATGTGTTGGATATGGGTGCTAAAGTTCAGGTTGTTGTCGAGGTTAGGCCTAGGAATTTGCCCTCATTATGCCTGGCAATTAGAGTGTTGCCCGTTCTTAATGTTAATTTCCGCATCTCCTGCTCTGCTACCAAACATAATGTAGTAGGTTTTGTCAGTGTTAAGCGTAATTTTTATTGGCTGTCATCCAAGTCGATTTTTTGATCAGCTCCTCATTAACAATGGTGTTGAGGGTGGCAAATTAGGGTGAGAGATGACATAAGTCATGTCGTCAGCAAAAGAGAAGGGCGTTGGGGTGTTGAATATTTTTTGGAAGATCATTGATGTATATGGGGGAAGAGCAGGGACCAAGACGCTTCCCTGCGGAACTCCAGTATCAAGTGACTGTTTTTGTTGATGCTGTGCTTTAATGGTGACATACTGATACTATTAGTAAGGTAAGATTTGAAATACGTATGAAAGCGCAGGGCCTCTATACTTAATGGTCAAGTTTGTGGAGTAGGATGCCATGGTCTACTGTGTCAAAAGCTTTTCTTAGGTCAATAAAAATTCCTGTGGATATTCCTTTTTTTCCCAAAGCTGTGAAAAGCAGATCTAGCATTTTAATGATTGCATTGTTAGTGCTTTTATTTTTCCTGAATCCAAATTGGCAGGGTTGAGTATGTTTTGTGTCTTTTATAAATGAATATAGTCTCCTGTGCGCGAGTTTCTCAAAGATTTGGATAGCAATGGTAAGTTTGATTTGGCCTATAGTTTTTAAATCTGTAGGTCACCACCTTTATGTATTGGTGTAACCCTTGCCGTCTTGAGTAGTTTCGGGAAGGTGCTAGTTTCTAGTGATTTGTTTAAAAAGTAATGAGATAGCATGCAAGAGGACAGGGCCGCTTCTTGTACAATATGGTGGGACATGAGACAGATTCCCTGAGTTATTTTAAGTGACTTTATAATCTCAGTGATTTCCCATGGGCTCAGTTGGAGAAAGATAGAAGGAATTTGGGAATTCCCATTAGGTGTCCCGGCATGGGCATTGGTGCGTGGGATTTTATTGGCGAGATTAGAACCATGGTTGAGAAAAAAGTCGTTTATTTGTTAGCTGTGTCAGTGGGATGCAGTGGTGTTTCATTAGGTTTAGTTAGGGCAATATTCTTGTTTTCTTTCAGTTTGTGGGTCCTAGAATCTGAGAGAGTGTTTTCCAGGTCTTTTTTATATCTCCTTTTGTGTCAGTGAATCTACTGGAGTAGTATAGTTGTTTGGCTTTCTTTATTATTTTTGGTGAGGACTGATGAATAGTGTTTAAGAATATCTTTGTGAATTAACCCCTGCCTATATTGCTTTTCATATTGGTGTTTCTTATCAATGGATTTCAGAAGGGTGCTGGTTAGCCATGGGCAACCAAGCCGTTTGTTTGTGATCTGTTTGTTTTTATGGACAATGTTTGTGTTTAGTCTAAGAAATTTGTAAGAAAATGTCTGTCCAGTCATCAGTACCATTGGCCTTGGAGAATTCTGTAGGCCAGTCAACAGTCTTTAGGTCACTGTGAACTTCCTTATTGAGGCCTCATCAGGAGTCAAAATTTGAAACTTTGTTGTATTCAAGTGGTGGTTTACTATGTTTGTCAAGAGGAAGGTTGGGTAGTGGTCTGTAGTGCTATCTGTGATTATCCCTGATTTAAGGGGGGCTGGTATATGGTCCATATGTGGTCTATTATGGTTGCACTCGTTTCAGTGAGCCGGGTTTTGGTTTAGTTATTGTTGTATGAGAAGTGTTTTGTTCATATTGCTGATGAAATCAGTTACAGGCTAATCATCTAGTAGGCCGGGGTTGATGTTGAAGTCTCCAGCTAAAGAAGGTGGTGCTTATTCATTTTTTCTTTTTTGTTATTAGTGCCTTTAGTTTCTCACTGAAATTTGGGGAGTTGTTTGTGTGGGGTACCCTGGTAAATCGCACCGATTTTATAGGAGTCTTAAGGTTTTTTTACAGTAAAATTAGCAAAAATTTTTTCTCCATATTCATCACTAATGCAAGGGGTGCTAATATAAGATAATTGGTTAGAGTAATAGATTGCAATACCACCCCCAACTTGGTATGGTCTGCAGTTGTGGATTGCTGTGTATCCTGGTAGAGGGTAGATATATATTTTGTCCTGCTTAAGCCAGGTCTCAGTAAGAATAATGCAGGAGAAGGTGTGTCTTTAGTGATTCAAGGAGTGCCAGGAGGTCATCATAGTGTTTGCTTAAGGACTAATGTTGTAGTTAAGTACTGATAGTTTTTTGCATTGTTTAGGATAGTGCGGCTTGTGTTTGCTGTGAAAATAAAGGCAGTTACTTTCCAATAGGTTTTGATTGTGTGTCAGATTTTTGGAGGTTTAGATCAGGGTCGACGTGATCAATCATCTTCTAGGTTAAATTATGGTTATTTATATCCTGAGTTGTGGGTTGAGTTTTGTTACTGATATCTGTAGTGGTGGAAGTTTGGACAAGTTATAGCTATAGCATTTGGTATGTAGAGTATAGTCACTAATACACATAATGGAGTTGGTGTTGTCTATGTGTTGTGCTGGAATGAGCTAAAGAAACAACTAGGTATAAACTAAT